AAGTGGAGGTTATGGACAGTGTATCCGCCCTTTGGATTCTTTACATGGTTTGAGTAGATCCCTTTATTACCAGATTGTCATTGAACTCAACTGTGTTTTTGCAGGGGGTCAACGAGCCTACTAGGTTTGTCCCCGGATGTGTATAGAATTTGCTGTTAGGCGATCGAGTCTTTACAGCTGCAAAGTGGGTCCAATCCTCACTCTACCTTGAGAGTTGGCGAGGCCAAGCTTGCTTTGGCCCACCTGTTCCCCGTCCTTCTCCGGTGGTTTTTTGGCTTCTTTTTACTACTCCCACTGATATAGCAGCTATTGGAGGGCAAGTGCCTGGACGATCAATTTTCGCTTGAAGGACCTCCGTGTCAAGTGCCAAGATTATGGGAGGGTATGTTTGGCCAGGAGTTGACGTCCCATTCGACGGTACCCTGGACTGTTTGACTTGAAGAAACCCATTCGAGGCGAGTTCTGCCCCAAGCTTGCAGTTGTCCTCATCCTTGTGGCTCATTGTGGGATCACTCGGGGTCTATCCAACCACTCCTGTGGTTAGTCCTTGGGAAGCCCTTTTTGTTGTATAGAGGTGGACTCCATTTCCCAGAGCCCTGTTTTGGTTCCCCTCTTCAACTTCCTAAAACTTTGACACCGAGCTCAGCTCCAAAAAGAAACGACCAAACAAACACAGAAAATCTGGAAATCTCCCCGAAATCTCCCCTGAACATCCCAACCCCCACCAAAATAGACAAAAATGGGCGGTGAATTCACCTACCCCAAAATGGTACCAAGACGGTTTTGACAACCACAGCCATTTCAGGTTCTTCAACCTGGGCATGGCGGTGAAGTGCTCCGTGGCCACCTTCCTGGTGGCGGTAGTGGCGCTGCTGAGCTCCAGAGGTATGACGGGCCTCGGGGGCTCCTCCGCAGCCCTGCCCTGCCGCTTCGACAGCGGCAACCGTTTCTTGTTTTTCTTCTCGGGCGTGTCTTGTTGTCCTTGTTTTGGATACGGAAAAGCTCACTGCAAATACGCAAGGGGAATGGTTGAGCTTTTAAAACCAAGGGAACATATGCTGGGTGTGTGGTTGGTCATTTCCCTGTTTGGGGTGTTGCTTTTTCTAAAAAGAAGCCTAAGGGAATTCCCTTGAAAGTTATAAAGTAGTGGCCTGCTTTGGTGGGGTCCCCGCAAAGCGGTCAGCCACACGTGTTTAAAGCAACCTCTAAACTCTAAACCCCCCAGCAGCAACAAAGCAGGAGTACATATTCTGGGCAGGGAAACACCAAGGGTGTTGGGAATGAACCGTTTGCGATCCCCTCGAAGGAACCACAAGGGATGGTTCATTTGGGTCATTGCCTCATTCCTTACCGAGGACCAGCAAGTTTTCTCAGTTGTTTGCAGTTGTTGCTCTTTTTTTAAAGGGGTTCTTACAGGTTCCCGAATTTCTTTGTCCATGCTCCCTGTTCTTCAGCGGTTCCCGTTTTCTGCTTGTTGGTCTCACTAAAATGATCAACCCTGCAAGTTGAAGGGAGCTCTCTAAGCCCCTTTGGGGTGGTTGCCAATAAAAGTGTTTGCCGCTGTCATTTGAACCCTTCCCTCGTGTCTGGGTTCAGCACCCATGAGGTCAACCCCGAAAATCGCTTGGTGTTTGCCGTGAACATGTTTTGCCCTCCTGATGGAACTCGCCAGAGGGTTGCTTGAGGAGACTCGTTTCCATGACCCCGCTTCCATGTTGGTAGAAGAAAGGACAAGTTTCACCCAGAACTGCAAAAACTGTCAGGGGTTCAACAATTCTGAAAACCAGCCCCCAACTGGCAGCAAGTCGAGGCAGTTTGCACAGGGCCCTGTTTTTCTCCATCCCTGCATCTTGCCCTTGTTTTTGAACCCCAAACCGAGAAGTAAAAAAAGCGCAACCCTGTGCGACGTTTTGGTCGACTCAGGCCTTGTCTACCTTCCCATCGCCGCCTTCTTCTTGGTGTTTATCTTTGGGCAGCAGCTGACCGGCGTCCAAACAAAGATTGAGAACTACTTCTGTGAGTGTGTGTGTGTGTGCGAGTGTTTTAGGGTAACCTTGGGATTGGTATAAAGAGGGAGACCTACAATACTGTCACGGGGCTCCCCTATTTGGAACCCGCGTCTGTCTTTTTGTTTGCTGGACCCTCTCTTGGAAACCCATTTGCGTGTCTTTTGGGAAACACCATTGCCAGAAGAAACCACGGCAGATTTGAGTGTTTGTTTCTTGTTGATGGGTCATTTGTTCTTTGTTCTTACCAAGGGCAACCAAGGGGAAGCCAGGCCGGGGATTCACCAATGCTGCAACAAACACATCAGTGAAGCAAGATGTGGGAGGAGCAGGAAAATGCAAATGGCGGTTCTTGTTCCCCCCCAGAACTGAACCGTTGTCTATGATCTTGCTTTGTTGGGGTCCGCCTCATCCCATCTCCCTGCCCCCCCCCCCCCCGACATCCCTGACCTGTTTTCCCAAAGGATGCGACTCGAGACAAAAAGCACGAAGGGCCCAGCAATGGCTCTGTCGATCTGAGGAGGGCGATGGGCTCCTTCGGTTTGGGTGGACAAACTCTGCATTCATCAAACGGACATGGAGCGGAAGGCGGAGCAGATCGTCTCTTTGCCCGTCTTCGTTGCGCGCTCTTCGCGCATGCTGATTTTGTGGGATGACACCTACTTTGAGCGCTTGTGGTGCAACCTAGACCCTCAGCCGGACGTGTGCAAGGCTTTCTGGTTGTGTAACTGCAGCCTTTGGCCACACGCACATGGCTTACGGTCATTGATTTGCCGCGAGCTCGGGTGACGGAAATCCCAGGCATGGCTGCTCTGCAGTTGCTTTCGTTTCTCCAGGTGTTGGGGCGTTCCGTTGACTTCAGCATAAGTCGGATACCCTGCGCGCCTGGTTGAGTTGGCAAATCGGTTGGTAATTCCCCCCCTCCCAGAACATGCAGAACTTCTGCGGGGAGATGTGTCTGAACATACTAACCAGCCCCCTTCTTGGCGAATGATGTCCTCGGCTCAAAGTGAAGGCTGAATCATTCCCTCGGGCTTTGAAACTAATCCCCTTGGGCCCTTGGAGGTTCTCTTGAGGGACAGAGGAATTGGCCAACCCTCCTATGGGCAAGGCTTAGATGTGCCGCTTTCAGGGGGTGAAATGCACACCGGGCACATTGTGTTCCCTTGGGCTCATGGCTCTCAAACCAGGCGGGGCTCGGAGACACATCTGTCCAGTTGTCAAAATCTCGCACAGTGGTCAATGAACACCTGGTCAATATCTATACATATATACATATATATATATATATGTGCAACTACGCCACATCATGTTTCTACATAGATACACCTGTCACACGTCTTTGTGCAGGTCTTTTCATAAATCGCACATTCGCAGATTCGCATTTCATGTTTCGCTGGCTCGCGAGCCTTTCGGCGCCGAGGAGTTGGCCACCTTCGCACGGTACGGGGGGGCGGATCGTGTGGAGGTGCTGCCGCTGTGGCTGGCGCCGTGGCTGCTGGGCTCCATCCTGCTGGACCTGCTCAGCGCCTCCATCTTCGAAGCTTGGCCACCCAAGGAAAAGCCCGAACTTGGCGCGAGAGGCAGGAATGAGCAGAAGCCGGTTTCTATGGTTTCCTATAAGGGAATCCCCAGCTTCATTCCAGAAAACTCCCTACTCAGCAACAGCAAGCTAAGTTAGACTAAGGATGGGACCCCTTTGGTGCATTGTGGGGTTTTATGTTCGACCAGTCTTGAGGTTACGATATATTTCCAAACGGTACCATATGTGAATGTTGCTTTGGTGCACATTATTTCGGTGGATTCATGCCCACAACTTTGGAGGTATTCATAGTCATATATTATTTGCGGAACTATGCGTTTCTTTCAGGGACCCTATGGAATTGGGGGGGGGGGGGGGTGAAAGTAGATAGCCCATTCTACGGGCCTCTATGGGAAGTGGTTCATGCAGATGTTTGGCTCCTTGGCGGAGGCGCAAAGCACTGTGTGTTGTAGCGGCGTTCGTACTAATCACAACAGCCGCTCTCCAAAATGCAGATCGTTGACACATTTTTCCAGAGGGCATGTGTACAAAGTGATGAATGGACGGCGTGCCCCACGGTTTTCCCAGTATGTGGGGATTCGGAGCCCATTCTTGCTCGCCCACCCACAAACATGGAGCCTGACTGCGGCTCCTGTAAGATCAGTTCTCTTGAAGCAGACCCTCCATGTAAGTTGGTGGGGTGAATTTGAGGGTCAATGACACCAGAATTTCAAGAACGATGATTTGTTTTCCTTTCCCTGAGCCAAGACAAATTGCGCCTGCCTCTATTTTCTGGGGTTGGGGGCCCCCGTTAGTGCTCCGGGGTTAGTATTGGTTTCGTGATGATTTGCTGAGTTTCGCCCTATCTTTCCAGGATCAAACAAGTAAGAGTTCTGATGACACATACAGTTTCAAGGCATCGCCTATGCATGGTCCGCGTCTCGAAGGTCGACAAGTGACAGAATGGTAATCACCGGTTAGGTTACCATGACTAAATGCCCAAGTCCCAAACTTGGTCTGCTTCCAGTCTGATCCATCGGGGGAGTTGCGAGAGTGACTTAATCAGTTGGGATTGTTTCTCTTGTTGTCAGCGGATTCTTATCTTCCCCCTCCCCGCAATTGATGATGACTGCACCAAGACCTACTGAGGTGCATTCCTGGTTCTTCTCCAGGCAGGTCCCTCCCTTTGTGTGACCCTTTTCGGTTTTGCATTGCCCGCCGCCTTCTTGGCTGGACTTTGTGGATGCCCATTTATCAACCATGTTAGATGAACCGTCTTTCAAGAGAAGGTGGAAAGGCAATCCCTTCCCCTGTTGGGCTGGACCATGCTGGACCTCTCAACATGGGACGGGGGCGACCAGAATGTTGCCGTTTGAAAGCTCGAGGAATTGCTGGAGCACATCTTCCCTAACTGGAGCGCGGCATGGACCAACGAGGCGGGGCTAGCGCTCAGCATCGCAAGAAAGAGCTCAGTTGGCGTCTTTGGCCCAGATGCCTCTCAAAGAAAACCATGGCAACAGGTGGCCTGTGGCCTGTGCCCAAGACTAAGGGAGGTCGCCACTATTCGGCTGGGCCGATTTGGTGCTGAGCTCCAACCCGTCCGCCAGGTTTGTTTGGCTTGAGCATGTGCGAAAGAAACTAGTGTTATTGTTTGAGGCTCGATGGGACTGTAAGACCCTGAAAGATCACCGGCTTTTGGTGAAGGGCTTCTATCAAACTGAGTCAAATAAGTAGCCCTTGAAACGCATGGGTTGTAAGAAGATTGTGCCTCATGTGTAGGAGAAGTGTGCGCATCATGGGTTGAAGGAAATGTGTGGCTTTGGGCAAATTACAACGAGCTCACCGATCCGTGAACAAACACATCTCATCTATGAAGGTCCCTTGGGGATTCCTTTTTTCCCGGCTCATGAATTATAGCGACTTGCCTACGCGATTAATCCAGTTGTGCATTTATTCATTTACCACTACTTGTTGATTTTTGCGTCTGCAACACCCATGACCAGCTCCCACTTGCTAGCTTCAAGTGCCATTCCTTAACTGAAAGAAGTGGCTTCAAGTCAGACGGGCAGCAACTCAGATCATCGGCTTTGCGGAGTCCATTTTCGGGCACAACCCGGCCATGGCGACTTGGCAAGGTTTGATCAAGATGTCCAGTTACGGTATATTTGGGAGGGACGTGGCAAACCTTAGGAGTGTTCTAGTGCCTATATAAACCTTTATTAATTTTGCGCATGATAACTATCTAGGTCAGGTGACATTTCAATGGTTCGTCAGGTGAAATTTGTGGCTCAAAATTAAGCAGGAGGGGCACACCGCAGGTTTTGGTCCATGTTTCCACTTCCCAGGGCAAGCCATTTTGGGGAACCGGTTTGGAAAGAGCCACAGCCAGGTGAAATTTGTGGCCTGGTACCATTTTGGGGTAGGTGCACCACCCATTTTAGCCTATTGTTGTCGGGATTGGGGTGTTCACTGGGGATACGGGATTTTTGACCCATGGCCACATGTCAATGGTTCGCCAGGTGAAGTTTGTGGCCTGGTTCATCATTTGGATGATGTCCAGCATCGTGTACTTGCCCGCCTCCATCCCCAGCTTCTTCACTCTGCGCATGAAGCTGCGGAACCATCAGCCGGGAAGCACAGATTCGGATGGATTCTTTCAACGGGTTCTTAGACTTCCATTTGCTTAATACTTCTTGTTAATTTCCCCTGTTGGTTTCAAAGGAAGCTATCACTACTGGACATATTTGTCGATTATTTTTAGAATGCAAGTAAAATAGTTTCGGTTTGAACAGTCACACATTACTTTTGGGTCTCGGTGGTTTCCCTTACCACCTCTTGATAGCTTGATTTCGAGTGACTCTGGACCTCTGAAACATACTGAAAGGGGCCAACCCAGAGATGCCTGAGGCTCATGCTGGACCAGATGGCCGAGTTCGATGTCCGCGCCGCGAAGTGCACTGTGGCCTCGGATCGGGAGGCCATCGAACAGCAGGCGGCGAGCTGAGAAGTGCTCGTGAGATGGGTATCTCCTTTTTAGGTCCCCCAGTAGTGTCCTTTTACTTCTTCTTTTTTGCGGGGGAGGGTTCCCCTTATACTAAAATAGACTACAGAAAAGAGGGGTAATTAGTAATTACCCTTATTCTAACCTCTCTACTGGAGCACCTGGCTTTTAAGGGGACCTCCCCGGCCCAAAATGCTGTTCGTCCTTTTGGCTTTCAAGACCAACCAAACCCTCAAGCAGACAGACCCAAATGCTGCCTCGTTGAATTTCGAAGAAGTGGTTTTGGACCAAATTCACCGCCAAATCGCGGCCCGTATCCTTTTCGCATGAATGGCCTGCCAGGTGAAGGACAATTTCAGCCAGGATCGCCTGGAGCGAGTGTTGTCCCGCCTGAGCACAAGCAAACCAGGGAAGGCGGGCGCTTTTGTTTGGAAACCGTTTGCAATGGACAGCCAGTTGTTCCGGGATTGTTCCGAGTAGTTAGAAAGAGGTCATCACCGTTGTGGAACTACTTTGAGAGTACTTCTTCTGGCCCGGTACCACCCAGCGATTCGTCGAAACAAATGAAACGAGCCCAGAGAGTTGATCCAGGGACACTTTGAATTGAAATCAACGCATGCCTCCTCTTGGCTCTAGGCCCTGAAACATCTCAGTTCTGGCGACTGCGCCTGGCCTTGCCTTCTTTACACTGCAGAGGTTTCGGTCGGCTCGCCGGTGCCCCTTCGCAGGTGCGACGGGACAGCCTAATCATGTCCCACGCAGATCCTCAGCCGAATCTGGTGGTTGTCTGCCCTCTTTGGTTTCCCAGTCCAAGATTGTGAGCCTATGAAGATTGTGAAATCACTGGCGCTGGGGTTGAAAATGTGTTCGGGTGTCCTTCGGTTTCGCTTCTCGAGGACCCAACCGCCTACCCTTGGGCCAGGGATGTCGGAGCAACCGTGTTGGAGGTCTGAGGTGTTCTTGTCAGCTTTGTTGTGTTACAATGTCAGGGTCAGGTGTCTTCAGATTTGCAAGTCAGGACCCATTGGATAACTTCAATGACTACATCCGGGGGCCCCTGCGCGACAAAGTGATAGATGAGATTGGTAATGAGCTCTACGTGCCGTGGCATATGTGCTTGACCGCCTTCCTTCCGATGATCTTCTATTCCTCTGTGAACGTGCTAGGCTGTGACAATGGTCCATGTGAGAAATCAGCGATGCTGGCCGGCTACAGCTCCGCGAGCCAGTACATGATCATCCAGACCATCGGCTGGGCAATGTGCATATTGATGGCGTTTCTGCTGACCTATCCAACTCTGCTTCGGATGCTCAAGTTTGTTTTGACACACGTGGACGGCCCTCTGCAGCTAGTTGCAGCCTTTCTATGCTGTCCTTTGGCGTATTTCTACTGTTACATCTGCGGAAGTCTAGTGTGGGCCTCACTGGTTTCCTTGGTGGAGAACTACTCCCCCAGTCAGCTCATGCTGTTTGTGCTGATTATGTGCTTTTTGCTGGTGCAAGTCGTTTCTCGGCCGATTCCAGGAGCTTTTGACATGCTTTTGTTTTTCTCCAGGGTCCCTCTGGCAGAGGTTGACAGCACCTGTTGTACCAATTCAGAGTGAGTCTTCCTTTGGTGTGCTAATCACAAGCGGAAGGAACCCCCTTTGCCGCTCGGGTTCCAAACAGGGGAACGGCTTCTATTGTCCTTTTCTGCAAGGTCTGCCTCTTTTCCAGAAGTTCCGGTCATGGTGAGCCACAAAGCAGCAGCTTGCGAAATCACGCCTACCAGAATGCTGAAACTGCCGACTCCCTGTTGGGCGGAGTTTCTGACACCCCGTGAGTCTACAATCGAGTGTGAGTTCAGCGCATGTATGGAACCGTGTTGAAGTTTGGATTCTTGGATGGTCTGCATCTCTGTTGCCCAGTGGTTTTTTGGGTAAGGGTTCCCCTTTAAACTCAACCAATATATAAAAAGGTGCTTGTTTTTCCCATGGCTACTGGGCATCTGAGAAGCATAGATGTGGCAATATGTTTTTAGTATTTGCAGATCTGTCCCCTTGCGCTGTGCTTTGACATATCGGTTACGTGTGGAGCATTTATTTTCTTCGCAAAGCGATGTTTCTGGCATGCCCGAACATATCGTTGCATGATTTTGGCATGATCAGCTGGAAAAGGCCTTGAGCTGTTGTATGCAGTTGCAAACCATGCAATGATGTTGCGGTGCTGGAAGTCAGTTTAATCTGAGGCTTTGCTAAGGCAAAGCGTTTCAACTCCGCTCCTCACACTTACCATATCAAGCCTTCAAAGTGTTGGCATTGCCAGCTTGCACTCTTGGTCGGCTTCTGCACTTAAAACTGCCGACTTGGACATGCGGCAGGCCCATCCCTGGCGAGCGCTCCGCTTACGCAACCGGTATGTGTTCTTCGAGGCACTTGTAGGATTGTTTTGAAGTCCAGCTGCAAAAGATCGCAATCGGAGTTGGAGGTCCCTGCATCTGAATAAATACCCGAATAAAGCTGCCGCCATGCACTTAGGCATCGCCCGAAGGCGTGTAGCCACTCGCGACGGAATCGTGGCTAGGGGCGCATACTGTAGCGCCTCTTGCTGAAGCAGCAAGCCTCGAAGATGGCAAAAACAACATGCAGGCCTCACTTGGATGTTCAACCCGGCAACCTAGCAAGTAGCTTACAACCACTATGATTACACGTCCTCCCAACGCTTGTTGTCTTGCTTGCCAGGGTTACCTACTAATTGAGTTGAGCATAGCAGGGCTCTGAGCTGTCATGGGCAACCGACCTGTTGAGAACCGCCTTAGGGCCCTTAGAAAGATGGTCACCGCATTTGGACGGAAGGTGAACATAAGCGAAGCTTGGGTCGAGGTTGGAATGATCAGTTTTGTTTTAAGCAACCGTGGCTTAAGCCACGTGTGAACCTGGATAAAACCAACTTGGGCGCTCTCCGGCATCCGCATTCCAACGTGTCTCAACCGGCGAGCCGACCACATCTTCCAGCTTTGCTTGTGGGTTCAGCCGCGCTTAAACTGGGTGGATTACTTTCAGCATCCCTTGAAGAAGGGTATCCTCGGAAAAGAAACGCCCTTTCATTTCGTGAGCGAAGTTCTTTTGGGGATCTTAATAAGACGTCTTGACAGCGTGCAAATTTCCCAGGACCCCTTTGGAGACGTCATGTGTCCAACCATTTCAACGGGAGTCCCTACACAATTCACAGGGGGTTGGTCTTTCTTCTCAGCCATGTCACAGCAATGTTGGCTGACTTGATGTTCCAGTACTTAGTTTAGTATTGCCAGGACTAAATTTTAGTTTTGCCAAGACTGACTCTCAGATTCCCAGTGCTTCTTTTAGTATTGTCAATTCTAATTTAGCATTGCCAAGACTTACTCTCAGATTCCCCGTACTTAGTTTGGTATTGCCAATTCAAATTTAGTATTGCCAAGACTGACTCTCAGATTCCCTCGTACTTAATGTAGTGCCAATTCTAATTTAGTATTGCCAGGACTTACTCTCAGATTCCCAACCCCCCCAAAAAAGTGTGACAGTGAGGCAACCCCCCAAAAAAACAGACATTAAAGCAGGGCTTCTTGTGGGCAACCCCTTTGTATGACTGATTGCCCTTACTTGTTTGTAAAGACGGTATCTTAAACTTGATGGTTTGGGGACCACTCCAAAAAGAGGAATTCCCGATGTTTTCCCGGAGTTGCTTGGCCCGATTTTCTTGGCCTGTTTGTTGTTGCCCGAATACCTTTTCCGGCACAATCCCGAAACACACAGGATTCTGAATTAAGACAACCACTTCCTACTAAAGCGTACCTTATTCAACCAGAGGGTCCGACAGTATATTGTATTGATGTCCTCCTCAAATGAGCAGTAGAATACCCATCATATTCGGAATGATCCATTTGATTGTTTGTAATTGCCAAAGCTGATCCCCCTGCGGATACGCCCAGTTGAACACAAGCAAGAAAGGCATGCCCATCATTTGAATAATTCCTTGAGCCATAAGCCAGTTGAATGGACCAAATAACCTTGTTTTGGACAAGCCCGCACCGTGAAAGACTAGGCGGACAACATGAGCAAAACCTAGAAGCCTGGCAGGGTCAAGCAAGGTCTAGTTGGCAACAGGCTGTCACTTTTGCAACTGGCAACAGGTACTGGCCGTACCTGCGACCTGCTGATTGCCAGGAGCTCAAATTCGTCGTAAGAGGAGGCTCCTGGTACCCATTGCTCTCTCACACCATGACCCTCCCTCTTGTGAGCCATTTTTCTTGATCAACCGAGCACCAAAGCGCTGTTTGTTGTGTTTCTGGTGGCAAGGGGTGGTGCTGTGCCTGGAAGGTACGCTCTCGAAAGCCTGAGGGAGCCTTAGCAGGGCAGACAGGTTTCTTCATTCTGGTATGGTCAATTCGGAGAGGGGACGGACTCAATTGCCCAGCAAAAATGAAACGGAAACTCGGGACTCGCCAATTTTCCTATGTTCAGTGCGGGAAACAAGGCAGTATATTATACCCCGAGATTCCAAGGCCTCCTTTTGTTAGGCCTAGGCCTTGTTTTGTTCCAGAGGCCTCGAATCGGGTGTGCAGAAGCCTTGAAAAGCAGGGGCAAAGGCCTTGAAAAGGAAGGGGGCGAAGGCCTTGAAAAGTCGGGGGCAGTTTCTGGCACATATTTTCACTTGAAAGGGTATTGAATGCGTAAAACACCAGGTTGTTTGCCTGTCAGCAAGACGCGGTGCAACAGTTTGCCCAGTGAAGTGACGCAGAACACCAGCTGGACCGTGGACAAAGCGTGGACAATCATGGAAAGGCCTCAAAAAGGCGTGGAACCAAAAAGCGAGAACAGCACTGAGAAACCCAGCAGGACTACATGACGCTTCTCCCAAAAAGAACCATTTGCTTGGGCCAACTGCAAGCTTTGTGCAAGAGCAGGGTATTTGTTAAACGAAACATGCAGGTTCGGCGAAACTGTGCCGACACCTCCAAGGAAAGCGCAGAATCGTAACTCCACTGGCGTTCGTTTGTTTGCAGAGCTGCCTTGGAGCAAAGCCATGCCAGTTAAAGATGTCAGGTATTGACAGCACAAAGGACAACACGTAGCGATATCGTGGCTGACGCGCCGTATGCAGCCAATTCAAAATCATGTTTTTGGGCCACGAATATGGGGCCAAAGGCCTTGAAAAGGCGTGGATACTTACCATGGATACTTCCGGGTTTACAGGCCTCAGTCAAGGCCTCTTTACAGAGGCCTCCTTTAGATAGGCCTTTCAAGCGCAGGCAACACCATTGTCAATACTGAATCAAGAACCCCGCAGGCTCTTGTTCGCACAGAGCCCCCCCCCAACAAATGTCGTCCAAAGAACTCACCAAGTGGACGTATTGTTCCATTTGGTTAGACCCTTTCGCCATGGTGTTTGATCTTTGTCAGACATTGTTCATTTGCACTCATTGGGAGATTGATTGGCTCAATCACTTCCGAAGTGATTGGCACATGTTCAGCCGTCAGCTATAAGTGTCAACTCGCACCTTGAATGAACAGATCGGTTTCCTCTAATTGGTGGTTTGGGTTGATGGTTTGGAGGGGCCTATCCGGTTTGAAACCCGCAATCTAAACCAGGTCAGGGGTACCAATCCGAACGGCCTTTAAAGACCAGCAGAAAGGGGGAACAAAGGGAACCTGAACGGAGGCAAATGGTACATGGACAAGATCTTCGCGGTGGGAGAGCTCATCACCACGCGCATCGAGGAGAAAGCAGCCAAGGAGATGAAAGCGGTGCCTCACTCAGCGCTGAGAAAGCAGGGATCACCCTGGCGGGATCCGGTGACTCTTGGGCTGAATTGGGGGAAATGAGCTGAGAAGCCTTGGCTTTTGTTTGGGGCGTCTTTCCGCCGTTGGTTTCGAGTTTTTCTTCTAAGATCTAAGAGAAGGCACGTGGGTGCATGGAGCCAGGGGTAGATATTCAAGATTGGGTGGCAGCCCTGGCGCTTTTGGCTCCGCAACAGGGAACCGTTGGTTTTTGTTTGTGCGCGGATCATGAACCCCCAGCTTCTCATAAGAGAAGGTTGCTATGTTGGTACCTGCGCAACTTGGGGTGGATGTCCGAGATTTGCCGCAGCAACCCTGAATGGAATGTCGACGCTTTAATCAACATGGTGTATTAGCAGGGCTGGGGCGGATCTGTTGCAGACTAACCACCCGAAGGAAGCTCCCAGCCCGCCTTTCCCCTTTGCATGGTGCCATCCTTGTATAGGGTGCTGTGCATGCATTCTGTCCGTCACAGACCGGGGGGTGGGGGGGCGGCAACAGCTTGAGGTATTCCAAGATCTCTGGAACCATTTGGGCAAACCAAATCGCAAGCTCACTTGCCGCGCAGTTTACGACTCCTGACGAAGGATTCTTCTTGCCTGGGGGACCCTGAGGTCAGTTTTATATTTCAGATGTGTGAACGGTTTTGACTTACCCAGAGCCATGCCACGGTGAAGTGCACAGCGTGGTGTTTGGTTGCGATGCGCAGACCGCGGAGGGAATGAGGGCCAAGCTGGAAGTGATCGAGTGGAAGAAGGCCTGGAAGCTTCGCCTTTGGGCACGTGCATCCGACCGTGCGCATAAACAGCACTTTGGATTCAAAAGAAGGTCCTCTCCAGATTTGTCAGCGCAACGTTCGCAGCGCCCATGTTTCCCGAAACCAGGGAACATTTCGAAGCAGGGTATTGAACGCGGGCGAACACGGGTATGCAGTTGAATTGGGGACACCAACCAGCATGCTTGAGGACTTCCCCCTTCACCATAAAAGCCGCATGGCACCAGCTAGTCGGAAGGGTCCAACAAGTTTTGAAACACCGCTTCAGGGCTACGCTACGCCGAAGCAAGGTACGAATTGCACACCTTGAGCGAAGCGCGCAAATCAGGGTCCTTA